ATAGCTTTGAGGCATCATTCCAAGTGCTTTTCAGAATTGAAAAAGAAAGAAACCCTAACTTGGTGTGAGGAGGAAGCCTAGGTTTCTCCAAATTTTACTTGTGTTTGGCTTGTTTTCTTGCTGATTTTACTGATCTTCAATTTGCCTTACATCAAATTGGTATCAAAGCTAAGGTTTCCTTAAACAACAAAACTAAGAAACAACAACCAAGCCTAGTTTTTGCTGTTTTTGGGCCAAGTTTTGCCAAATCAGCCTAGATCTTGCTATTTTTAGTGAGTTTTTGTTGATTATCCGTCTAGGGTTTGTGATTTCGGGAAATCCTTGGCAGCGAGAAGGGACTATGGATGGGGGGTTTCACATATCTACTTTGTGATCCCAAACATGAATGAAGAACTTAAAAAGCAAGTTCAGCAGCCGGTGCAGTAGTTTGCAAGCATCATTCATGGGCAATACGATGATCTTTCTGCCTAAGAAGATGTCGAATACCACCCGTTTCATCTTTTGTGTTCCGCATGAAGAGTTGAGTGAAGAGGAAAGCGATAGAAGATTTAGGCGTGGGGAAGATCACTCTAGGGTTTTTGATTTGGACATTCTTGATTTTGACGCAGTTTGTATTGAAAAAATCAACGAGTTGTGGATTGGGATCTACCATCAATCTTCAATACATACTATAATGATGATCAAGGTTACATAGATGAAGAACAAGATCTTGTAGGAGATCCAATCTGTAATGATGATCAATATTTTGTGGTTAAACATATCTTTTATGTGGAAAAAGATAAAAATCTCAAGGATATCGAAGAGGTGGAGCCTTCAAGAGATTTCAGGCATTGGAATCAGAATAGCGCAACAAAAGTGTGTTCGACTCATAAACCACAAATTGTGGGCCCGGTTTCAGAGAGCAATGAAATGGATGTCCAGAAAACCTTTAAAGGCTAGAAAATTGAGTGTGAAGTTTCTTACGCAAGTTTACAAGCGAATTCAGGGATAGCCAAATTTGATAAGTTTTTGTCAATTCCTTACCATACATACTAGGATCCATTTATTAGGGATTTATTCTTACCACGAATAATATTTGAACCAACAAAGAAGAAGAAGTTGAAGAAGGTCGTTTTGATGTTGAATTCATCCTAACTCACTTCAAAACTCGAGGATGAATTTTCTCCAGCCAAGGGAAAATAATATAGGACAAAATTATTCTACTTTTTTAGTTTTTGTTTAATTTCAAAAGATGTATGTTTCAATTTTTTGTTTTAGAGTTTATTGTTGGACTTTTGAAGTATTTTAGGGATTCTAAGGTTTCTCTTGTTATATTTTATTTACTTTTCAGTGGTTAGGTACTATTCATTGGTTGCTCTTCATAGGGGTAAAATTGTCATTACAAATTTTGTGTTTAAGTTAGGAATTTTTTGGTTATTTTAATTATTGTATCGACATTTAATTTTTTGAATAATAAATTATAATATATTAGAGGTGTTGGGGCCTTGAGGGGGCCATTCCATCAGAATTGAAAAAGAAAGAAAAGGCTTGGATAATGATGATGATGAAAAAGAAAGAAAAGCTTAGGCTTTTGGAACCCTTGGGGTGAGGAGGAAACACTAGGTTTTTCCAAATTGTGCTTGCGTTGTCTTGTTTTCTTACTGATTTCACTGTTCTTCAATTTGCCCGACATCAAATTTGTATTAGAGCTCAAGTTTCCTTCAACAACAGAATGGGAAACTATAACCAAGCCTAGGGTTAGCTGATTTTGGGCTTGGTTTTGCTAATCAGCCTAGATCTTGCTGTTTTAGTGAGTTTTTGTTGATTATCTATGTAGGGTTTGTGATTTTGACGAACCCATGGCAGCGAGAAAAATCTTTTGGAAGAGAGGTTTTTGCAGATCCATTTCGTGATCCCAATGATGAAGAAATTGAGAGATACAACAAACTGGCAAGTCCAAAATTTTGGCTCAATCGGATGTCAGATGACTCCAATATGGAAATTTAGATATCTTACTCAGGGTGGAGGGGGGGTATCACCCTTTGAACTGCCAAATATACAAAGAAACTTCCCTGAAATCTTTTGCCGAATATGCTGAAACTCTTATAGAAGAAAGACACAATTCTCAGGGGCCTACATCTCAAATTTGGGGTCGATCCGATGTCGTGAAGTACCATTTTTTATGCAACATTTGATAGACCGCCAAAGGACCACCAAGTTTTTACTGAAAGTGCATATCGTGGGCATGGGAACAATTTCCAACAACGTCCAAGTTTTCTTCATCGAAAAGAAATGGCCTTAACTCATGATTCTTATGGCTATATGGAAGAAGTTTTATATAGAGCCGAGGCTATAAACAATCAAATTAGAGCCCACCTCAAAAATTTCACTAGAAGAGGTTGTTTTGATGCCCAAATATTCTCAAATTGATCATCTTGACATCAAGATGCATGAGAAAAAAATGGATTTCAAGTTTTGGAAATAGTACATCTTGTAATGCATTTTTGGAATGTCAATTTTCAAGATTTTCAAGTTTTCATAGATCTGCTCGATTTACACTATTTTTTGAAGCTTTAAATTTTATAATTAAATATGAAAATAGATTTTAAGGCTATCACAAAGATTTCAAGTATTGATACCACATTTCTCGACACTATTTGAAGGTGCACTTTACTTTGATTGTTTAGAGCCTCGGCTCTATACAAACTGCACCCATATATATATATAGGAAACTACTGAGATTAGCCTACAAGCTCATATGAACATATAAGCCTAACGGCCCAGATTGAATCTGAGCCGATCTGACGGTTACAACCTCATTTCGTGTTTGAATTTTAAATTTTTTTATACAAATTCAAATACCATCAAATAATAGGTATCCATTCTTCTCATCAAGGTGCACCTAATAAAAATATTTAAAAAATTATTCGTAAAAAATAAATTGACCAAAATACTCCCGAAACATTTCAGGGGTATTTTGGTCAATTTTTTTCTTGCAAATTATTTTTTTGATATTTTTATTAGATTCTTTTATCTTTGAAGAACACACGCCTAAAATTTCAAGTTATTTATATTCGTAGAAAAAAAAAATTAAAATTACAATACGAATTGAAGTCACGATCGTTAGATCGGCCTAGATTCAATTTGGGCTGTTGGGCTCATATGTTCATATGAGCTAGTGGGCTAATCTCAGCATTTTCCATATATATATATATATATATATATAGTCTTTTGTTTCTATATATATATAGATATATATATATATATATATATATATATGTATATATATTATTGATGGACGTGGTCGAATCGAAGAGAAAAGTGGGTGATCAAAAGTGCGTTTTTGTATAACATTTCCTATGACCCCGATTCACTCCCAGCTCAATATCTTGCAATCTGTGGGGAGTTTTGAGCTCTCAGATTTTACAGGAACATTCTTCACTCAATCCCCTTTGCGTCAATATAAGTCGTTGAGGATTTTCGACCTGATTTAGGGGGCGAATTCTAGAGAGAAGTTCACCAAAAAGTCAAGACTGCTGAAAATGGAGAAAACGTCAAAGGATTTGATCATAACTCCATCAATTTTGGGAGTTTTTGATGTAAATCACTCTCCCAAATGTGGCAAAGATGATCCTCATGAAATTTTGGTGGTTGAATGTTGAAAAACAGAAAATAAGGGATGTATTTTCATGAATTCAGTGAAGCATGGGTTATTTTTTAAATACTTGTTGCCAAATGAAAAACTTGATCATAGTGTTCTCAATTCTTGAAGTTTTTATCTAAATTTGTCACAAAATGACCATAACAACATTCTCCACAAAATTTTGGAGAAAATTTGAGCAAAAAGTGGATGGGAGGGAAACTCATCAAATTGGTGGAAAATTAATAAGGCATGGGAAAAAGGGGGAAAATTGTTGAAATTGCATGACTTTTGACCCCCGAAATTGTCAATTTCCTGCTTAGCCCGAGTTTTCCACCCTTGTTTCACTTGAACTCCACTTTCACCCTTGTTTCACTTGAACTCCACTTATAGGCCCTAACTTTAGTTTTCCACCCTTGTTTCACATAAACTCTGTATAAACCCCTCTTTGTTAAGGGTTAGAAAGTTTACTTAGCCATCTTCCTTTAGAGAGGGAAACCCTCCTACTCTCTTGCTTAGAGTGAAAAAAATTCCCAATCACCTAATTGCCCTCCCAAAAATTTAAAATACCAAAATACTGCTAGAAATTAGAAAATTCATAAAATTCCCAAAAAAATTCATCAAAACCCTAGGATCCTAAAATTACCCAAACTACCCCTAGAAAACCTTAAAAACCGCAAACACCAAAGAGGGAGAATTAAAGTAGGAAAAGGGTCAAAAAGTTAAGTTGATTTGGATCGAATTGGAAACCCCAAACCCCTAGGGATTTTTTGGATATTTTAATTATAGTTAGGGAGTTATAGTTTCAAGTTATATTTAAGTTAGGACTTTTTGGTCAAAAGTTAATTATATGGACAAATATTGTCCAAAACAATAATTTTTCATTATAAATAAAGGCATGGATGGGCTGGAGAGTCATCCATGCATTCCTCTTTAAGAAAAGAAATACTTTGTCTTATAAAAGAAGACTAAGGCTTGAGCCCTAAGTAGGAGAAAACCTTAGAGTTTCTCCAAAATTGCTTGTGTCAAGGTGCTTCTTGCTGATTTTTTTTATGTTTCTTTGAGTTCTTCGTATGGTCTATGAGAGAAACCTAGAACGAGAAAATTAGTTAACCCACTCTCTTCTACCATAACCCTAGTGTGAGAAATGAATCAAGGTTCCAAAATTACCCTTAGCCAAGTAGCAAAATTCGAAAATTACCCTAAAAAAATTACCAAAATCCCAAACATTCCAAAATTCCAAAAAAGTTCCCAAAGTTCAAATATCTAGGATAATTCCAAATTCTCAAAAGCAACAAGGAACTAGTCTAAAACACATTTCTACTAGATCGAGGGCATCCCTGATATCATATAAACTGGTGGTCTAAGAGGATCAGCTGCACCGATTTGGAATGCAATGATCCAACCAATTGTAAGTAAATTTTTTTTTTGTTCTTTAGCAGAATTGAAAGTTGTTGTTCTTTATTGTGTGCCTTCTTTGGTTTATTTTCCTTTCAAATTGGAGTTACAAAAATCCCAAATCACACACACATGAAAAATGGTACACAAGGACTTTCGTTTTAGCAATTGTGGGCTCTTTGCATTTTCAAGAATGAGTGATTATTGATAGTTATCAGTGATTAAAACCATGAATTGGATTGGGGCTCGCTAGGGTTCCTAGCTGAGCCAGTTCGACTTGGCAGAGTTTGTGAAAAAATAACAAAAGGAGGTTAATATTTGGTAAGACTTTAGGTGAGTCCCTAGGTTCGCCAGGTTCCCAACCTAGTTAACTAGAGGTGACTCGGAAGTCGGCTTGGCTATTTTTAGAATACTGATAATTATGAACCAAAAGAATAGTAGTTAGTGTTTTAGGCATTGTTTACAAACACAGGAGTTAGGCTTTGCTCAATGAACCATTTAGTAAGTCGATTTAGGGTTCACCCTGTTAAACTCACTGAGTTTTGGAAATCAGCATTTATTTACTATTTATTAACTAAAAATTGAAGGCTTGATGTTTATTAAAGAATGAAGTATAAACGGAAAAAAATGTATATTTTTTATAAAAATAAATAATACCAAGCTTCATCAACGCTGCAGTGAAATTAAATCATGAAGAGCTACATACGTAATACCAAGAATCTGCTGAATGTTTATGTAAATTTAGAATACCGGAATGAGGGTAAATTTTCAAAATATTAGTTTTTGGTCAACAAACTTTTACATTTTCATTTTGGATCATGAAGTGTACCATGAGCCTTTTGATGTCTCTCCTCCTTGATCCAAAGAGCCTTAAATATGATATCTTGATATGTATTTTAGCAAGGTAAGCCTAACTATTTCCTGTAGTTGTTTTTTTATCATGCAGTTCTTCTGCGTAACAGATTGAAGATGTCTATTTTTGGTATGAATGAAAAATGTGTTGCTTTGAGACAACTAGAAAAACAAACCCATTTTGTTTTTCCTAAAGACAAGCATGGATTCATTGTGTCATTAATTTGGCATTTCAAATGAGTTGTGCTCGTGAATTAATTAGTTGCTATGCTGGGTTATTTTCATAACTTTGTTCAGCCTCTGGATGAATTAAATCTACGAAACGTGTGTCCTTATGACTTAGGAGATTCTTTTGTGTCCTAATGAACTAGGAGAGTTTAGTGAACTATTTTCTGGCAGCTTTTATTTTTTGCTGTTGTACTTGTTTCTATAATGTGTAGCTTATTTTTGGTTTAAACTTTATCACAATCTTAAGGTGATTTATGATTAACATTAGTGTATCAGGATGTCATGTCTTGGTTAGATGTCTGCAAGCCGTCTTTAAGTCATTTACTGTGTATTAGAGTTCTTTTCTCTTGTCTTCACCAGGGTGGGGATTCCAGTACAAAAAGGGCTAAGTTTGCCGAGGAAGCGGAAGGAAATGTTCCTGGGGCACCTGATACATTTGAAGATACAAGTGCAGCCTTAGGTCAGCATATGAATTCTAAGTCAATGGAAGCTAATGCAACTGATGCAAGCGCATCAAATGCTGTTGTTCCTCTGGGAACAAATGAAAATGTTGGTCTTGATCAGCTGCCTAAGGAACTGCATGAAATGAAGATTAGAGATGATAAAGCTAACAGCTTGGATCACAAGGTGAAATATTATCTGATGTGCACCTCAGTTTTTTCTTTGAAAGTATTACTGCAGTGATCTTGTCTTCAGTTTAGGGAAACTATACTAGAATCTAATGGATTACAGAAAAATGACGACGCAATGGGTGATCAGTATGCAAAATGATTGGTGTTATGGAGATAACCACTGGGGCCATGTCTTGTTATGGTGGGTCTCACTCTCCATCACTATCTGTCAATGCATCATATGGATGGCAATTGAGAGTGGGACCCACTAGTAATGCTTTCCCCCCCAGAGGATTACTGTCTCTGTTTCTTGATTCAGATTAGGGAAAGTATACTCGAACCCAATGGTCGTTGGGAAATTTATGACCCATTGGGTCATCAGTCTCCAACGAAACGATAGGGCATTATGGAGAGAACGATTGGGGTCATGTCTTGTTCTTGTAGGTTCCACTCTCCACTGTGGATCATTTCATATTATGGTGTTTTCACGATGGACTACGGTTTTGGATTTTAATACACTCTCCCTTCTGATTATTCTGGGATTTATGTTTACCTTTTAACTTTCTTGAGTGTTCTATAGTGGTTAATGGCTCATGCAGGATACAGAAGCGGCTGTGGTGAATGGTCGGGGGACTGAAGCTGGCCATATAATTTCAACGACTGTTGGGGGCCGTAATGGTCAACCAAAACAGGTGGAATGCTTTTTCGCTGTTATGCTTCTTCCTGTGATATCATCTCTGGAACCTTTGTGTTTGATACATTTCTTGTATGCTCATCATCATCATTTTAGTCTTTTCTCCGTTAATTGGGGTCAACTACATAAATCCTGGTTCTCCATTCTGCTCTATTAAAGGCCGTATCCTTAGTGAGGTCATAAGTCCCCATATCATTTTTTGTATGCAATAATTGTTGGAATTAAAAGGAGGGAGAAGGAAAAGATACAAAGAAGAAGGGGGGGGGGGGAAGGGAGGGAAGATAGAACCTTTATGTGCATGCTATGATATTTCTTGTTGCATTCAAGCTTTTCTTTTTAGTAATATGTGGTTGTGCATGATATCCTGGCAGACAATCTCATACATGGCAGAACGTGTAGTAGGCCATGGTTCATTTGGTGTTGTCTTCCAGGTATGGACCTTAACTTTTCTGTTTTATATGTGCCTTATCATTTTGCCTTTGTTTCTTTATTTGTTATATTACTGAAAAATAATTGCATACCTTATATTCCAGGCTAAATGCCTGGAAACAGGTGAAGCGGTTGCTATAAAGAAGGTGCTGCAGGATAAAAGATACAAGAATAGAGAACTTCAAGTTATGCGCTTACTTGACCACCCTAATGTGATCCGGCTGAAACATTGTTTCTTTTCAACCACTGAGAAAGATGAAGTCTACCTTAATCTTGTAATGGAATTTGTATCAGAGACTGTGTACAAAGTTGCCAAGCACTACAGCAAAATGAGCCAACGGATGCCCCTTATTTATGTGAAATTATATACATATCAGGTGATCATATTGTTGAAATACAATCGTTTTCTTCAAGTGCATTGCAAAGTCACCATATTCTTGTTTACAAAAAAAAAGGCACCATATTCTTAAAACACGTTTTTTTTAAATTAAATTTAGTGCTGCTTAATTTTACTGAACTCTTCCTTGAGCAGATTTGTCGGTCGCTTGCTTACATTCATGGTGCTATTGGTGTCTGCCATCGTGATATAAAGCCGCAAAATTTATTGGTGAGCTGACTAAATCGCTTATTCATTTTTTTGTCATTTTTACTTTTTTTTTATGACTAGGGCCATAGTGGCATTAGGGAAAATTTACTAAGCTTGTTAGGTAGCACACTGTATATTTGCTTCCTAGTGAGCATTCACTTTCTGACCTATGTGGGATGGTGGAGGTTGGATTTGGGATAATTATGATCGTTGCATGATTGTAAAAAGGGTGGAATAAAGATATTTGTAGTGAAGATTCTCATTATACTTTTTCTAGTAGCTCATTTTGGTATAATTTGGACCCTTAGGTGTAGGAACATTAATCTAGGCAAGTGATTTATGCAATCAATCAGGGTAACAGAGTTGATAAGGTGAGTTGCTGAAGCTTGTAGTGATTTTCCTCTGGTCCCTTCCATGTGGAAACACTTTCGATGCCATTCTGGGTTAGCTGAAAGGCTTCAAGTTTAAGCGAACATGTGAACCTTTTCAAGGAAATGAGAGATATAAGGAAGTATTTTTTTGAATGTGTTAACTAGATACAAGGAAGTTCTGTTGAAGCTTTCTTTCAGCATTTCCTTAGAGAAGCTTAGAGTCAAAATTTCTAGCTAGGGTGAGGGTATCTGGTGATAGATTTTGTGTGGTATCTGTGGCCTAAGTATAATTCTATGGTTTGGGATGTACCTCTGTTATTCCTTGTAATTCATCAATAAAATTTAATTAGACAATAACTTAATCTTCAGGTTACGTTTAGTTTGTTTATTGATTGATGCACATGTGCTAGTATTATCGTAGTCCTACTATTTTTCTATGACAAGGTGTTGGTATTAATATTTGAACTTAAGTTCAAACAATCTAAGTTTTTATGCCCCTGTCCAATTCTGAAATTAGCTTTCTGCTCTTGGTTTAAAACTTTGAATGGATTGTATGTATGTATCCTCCTGTTAATTAGATACTCCTAAATTCTATGTGGTACTTTGAAGAAAAGAAACAAAATTGAGGAACACGTGGAGAGAGGATCAAGGAAGGATGGAAATGTTGAAAGTAGAAGTCCTCGTTATTTCTATTCACGTTTCGTTCTACTCTTCTTCCCTCATACAAACCTTTGTTTCTCTCCCCTCGTTCTACTTTCCTTCCATTTGATCTATTTGAAACTGTCTGCCCCGTGGTGTTGCCCCTAGAGAGAGATGGGTTTGCATTGTGGTGGCTTGATCCTTGTTTCAATCTTTTAGAGGAGGGAAGGGGTGGGATGGTGAGGAGCAAGAGGAAGGGGAGGGAGGGAGAGGGAGGAGTGGCTCTAGTTTTGTATATGGATCCATTGCACGAGCTCATAGGGAGGGGATTTGGGAGAAGACAGCAAGAAGGGTGTCTACATTCCATGTATTTTGTTTCTCTTTTCTCACTTCTACGTAGTTTATTTTGTTTTGTTTCTTGTGTCTATCCACCTAAGTGCCACATGGAAACCGATTAAATACGACTGTAAGGGTTGAACTAGGGGTAGGAAAGTAATTCTAAATTATTGCATAGGTGCATAAAGTTAATTTTTCCTTCTCTTTGTCCCAAATGAATTATTGGTTTGTTTTGGTTGATTTTAACATGATATTTAAAGGTTCTTTATTTCAAAGTTTTTATTTCTTTTGTTTATTTTTTATTTATGCATGAAGTGAGACTACTTTACAATTAGCTTGATACAAATGACAAATGTTTTATAACTCAGCTCAGACCACGGGCTCAGCCCTTTCCCCATATGCGTTTGGCTCTTTGACTTGGCGAAGTAGTGTGGACCTCATAAAAACCATGGAAAAAAAAAAAAAAACAAAAACAGAATCCCAAAATATGAGAAAAATAGGTCGGGGAGAGAGAGAGAGCTCTTTTAGGGAGGAGAGAGAGAGAGAGAGAGAGAGAGAGAGAGAGAGAGTAGTC